CGGTTACCTGTAATCCCAGCTACTTGGGAGACTGAGGCAGGAGACTCGCTTGGGCCCAGGAGTTGGAGGTTGCTGTGAGCTATGATAACGCCATGGCACTGTACCTAGGGCAACAGAGTAAGACTGTATCTCAAAAATAAATAAATAAAATATACAGTTGTGTGTTAGTAAATTCATAGATGTTCAACCCTCACCATTATGTGTAGAATTCCAGAACATTCCTTGCTCTTCTGCCTTAGTAACAACCAATCTATGTGCCTCTCTGTAGATTTGTGTGTTCTTCAGATGTTACTGGTTTACCGTATGTCTTTTTATAAATCTATCTTATCTCTATACCCTACCCCCAGCCCAGTTCTTTTCCTTGGTGGCAACTCGTCTCACTGGTTTTTGTTTATCCTTCCAGAGGGAGCCTGTGCTCACAAGCAGTATGTGTACAGATATCCAGTGGTATATTCTTTGCTTACCACTAATGGTAGCATTCACATGTCCTGCACCTTTCTTTTGTACACCTTGGTGATAACAAAAATATTTTAATATGTTAATATTTTTGCAAATCACTCCACTTCCATACACGAAGCACAGCCTTATTCTCTGTAATTGTTACATCAGATTTCGTTGGATGAATGTGTCATAATGTATTTAATGAGTCTCTTACCGATGGACATGACTAGGTAGTTTCTAACATGGTTCTCTTCCAGTTGTAAAAAACAGAGTGGTACACAGAAAGCGTCTCTTTCTTCCCTCCTCCCTTCTCTCGTCCTGGGTTTTCTCTCCTTAACTCCTGTTTTGTTTTGGTTTTTTGTGCTGGAAGTCAGCTTACTACACTTTGAGAAAGGCAGCCCCAGGGGGCTGAAGCTGGCAGAATGGAGTGACCTCTGTCTTTGCCCTGGCTCACCTGGCATCACTTTGTACCTGCTCTGGAATGATGGGGGGCCTTTTCCCCAGATATTCTCCTAAAAGGAAGGGGCAGTTCCTACCAGCCAGGGTGTTCGCATGCTGTTGGGAACAGCCCCACAAACAGGCAAGTTCATTTTCCAGGGTGCCAGTGCTGGGCAGGTGTCAGAATCATCCCTGCTGTGGGGGGCTCTTTGATTCCAAAGTGGACAAGGCCCTGAGTGCAGCCCCTCATGGAACACGTGCCAATGTTGGCCAGGGAAAAGCCTCCTGTGGCTTGGGGGCTCCAAGAGGATTTGCTGGAATGAAATAGTCATATCACTCCCAGGGGCTCATGTGGGCATGCACTCATGTGATTTGGTGACTTGGTTTCTGCTCCATTTTCCCCTCCAGAAAAACAAGAATAAGAAAAAAGGCAAAGATGAGAAGTGTGGCTCCGAGGTGACCACTCCAGAAAACAGCTCCTCCCCAGGGATGATGGACATGCATGGTGAGTCTCTCTGCGGCCTATGGCCTCTCCTGCCGGTCCCAGGGCCTTGGTGATGCACTTGTGTTTTTACTTCTCTAGCAGGTTTGTTCACATTCCAGGCAGGGGGTAAGAGGGCTGGGCAGAACCAGAAGGCTTCTGTGCCAAGGAGGAGGGGAGGAAGTCTCTTTTCCCACAGTACCAAGCCAAGAAATATAAAATAAGCCAGAGACATAAAAATAAGACCCTCAGGGCGGCGCCTGTGGCTCATTGAGTAGGGCGCCGGCCCCATATACCGAGGGTGGCGGGTTCAAACCCAGCCCCAGCCAAACTGCAACAAAAGAATAGCTCGACATCGTGGCAGGCGCCTGGCCTGTAGTCCCAGCTACTCAGGAGGCTGAGGCAAGAGAATCACCTAAGCCTAGGAGTTGGCGGTTGCTATGAGCGGTGTGATGCCACAGCATTCTACTGAGGGCGATAGAGTGAGACTCTGTCTCTACAAAAAATAATAATAATAATAATAAGACCCTTTCTTCCCCAGTGATAAAAACCTTACCAGAGATGTTTCCCTCTGCACCATGTGCTCCCAGGAAGGTTTTTGGGAATGTATGTTTCTTTTTTCCTCCCAGGGAGATAGAAATATAAATTATATAAATAGCTATATTTTCTTTTTCCCATTTTGCTTTGGCTGCCAGGAAGCTCTAAAGTAGATTTCTGACTTCATGTTAATCACCCTAGGACCATGGGAACTGCCCTTCCACATCCACAGCCTGACTTCCTTTGCAGTCTCATTTCAAAAATTATAACCTAGTCTGGTGCAGCAGCACAACTTGTCATCTTGGCTACTTAGGAGGCTAAGATTGGAAGATTACTTGAGCTTAGGAGTTTGAGGCTGTAGTGACCATGATCTTGTCTGTGAATAGCCACTGCACTCTAGCCCGGGCAACATAGTGAGACCCTGCCTTCTAAAACAATAACAAAAAACCCTCACCAAAAACAAAAGTTGTAGCCAGCATCCCACCAGTCAAATCCACGTCAGTGCTGTAACTATCAACCATTGTTTCCTGTGCTGGTGTTCAGTTCTCTTCTTACCTTTTTATCAGAGAGAAAAGGCTGCATGAAATGTTCCCAAACTGCACACACCCCTCTAACTCACCCAGATCAGAACACCTGAGCATTCCCAGCCAGTCCCCATTGTCTTCCAGATGACCTCCTGGTCACCTGTCCCTGCCTCTCCAAGGAAAACCACTTTGGTCAAACCTGAAGCTTTTCAAAAATTGAGTTATTGTCCCATATTTATAAGTCAGAAAATCTGCATTACTGCTGTTCTTTGAGAAATCAGACCTGGCACTCCTGAGTGTGTGCTCCCCCAAAGCAGAGGCCATGTGAAGCCCAAACAGTGTCCCTTAAGGGGGGGCATGGCCTTTCCAAGCACACCTGGCTCTACCCCCTCATTTTGTCACCTACCTTGCCCACTGGGACAAGAGCTTATAATCCCTGCCTTTGTTTGTTTCTTGATCCCAACTTCAATGTCTTTGTACTTGTGACCAACCCAAACCTTTGGTACAATGAGGCAGTATCAGATAAATAATTAAATAAGGAAATCAAAAAGGAATGTTGGTTTGCTAGAATTTCTAACACCTCTCAACCCAGAGTTGTCTCAGTCTAGGGAAGGAAGGCAAACAAACTTCTCTATTTGCCCAAACTGTCTAGTCTGCAAGACACAGGCTCCAGCTCCCAGGGCAGGGAGGGTCGCTAGTTGCCATACTGGCTTCAGGCAAGCACAGGGGAGCTTTGCTGCTGGCTAACGTGTCAAGAGAGTCCCCCCAACCCCTGCCCCAATCAGGTCATAGGATCATAGTTGGGGTACATTTGATTTTCAGAAATAGATATTTGAGCTCAGATGTGACCTATCTCCCTGGCATTGCTTAGCTCCCTTCCTCTCTGGGGACTGAGGAGCCCCCAAGCCTGGCTCAGAATCTAGGTTGGGCCATGGTTATAGAATGGCAGGTGAACGCCTTTTCAAATAGAGGTCAGGGTCCCACCAGATCCTAACTCTCCCAGGACCTCCACCTGGCTGTGTGTTCTTGGGCTGCTTGCTCTACCTTTGGGTTTGTTTAGTTTTAACCTGTAGAATGGAACTGATAATGCCTGCTTCATAAAATCAAGATAATCCCTCAAAAGCTTTGGCATGTTAACAGCTCACATTTATGAGACTGTCACAGTCGGTGTGCAAGCATCACGCTAAGCACAGTTTTTGCATTATCTCATTTGAATCTAATGACATGCCATTTTACAGATGGAGAAACTAAGGCTCAGAGAGTGCAGTAACTTTCCCAGTTAGGAAGTTCATAGCTTCCAGTGCCAGTGCTGGCATTTGAGGTCCTTCAAAGGCAGAATACAGATTTGTGGCTTGGACTAATGCTCCAGAAAAATCTAGGATGCCTAGCAAACCAGGTCCCTGGACAAGAAGCCCTGCTTACCTTCTCAGTATCATTTCCATTTTAGTACACGTGCAGCCAAAACCACGTCAGACTACAGGATGTGCAAACTTGAAGGGCAGGGAAAGATGGGGGCCTGGTGAGTTTTCTGGAAGGCTTCAAGTGGGAAGATGGGCCCAGCAGGACATGACTGGAGAGGGTACGTGTATTTGGCTCTTTAGTCTTCAAGATTCAGCTGATGTCAGCCCAAGAGTCAAGGTCACGCTGTTACCATGTTCCCAGGGTATCCTCAGACGGCGGACTGGCTAAACATTAGAATTTTTGTCATTAATTAACATAACCTCAGGCTGGGTAGCTCCTACACACATATGTTGGATAGAGAAAAGAAGTTTAGGTGGTGCCCGTAGCTCAGTGAGTAGGGCGCCGGCCACATACACTGAGGCTGGTGGGTTGGAGCCCAGCCCAGGCCTGCTCAACAACAGTGACAACTACAACAAAAAAATAACTGGGCGTTGTGATGGGCGCCTGTAGTCCCAACTGTTCAGGAGGCTGAGGCAAGAGAATCGCTTAAACCCAAGAGTTTGAGGTTGCTGTGAGCTGTGACGCCACAGCACTCTCCCAAGGGCAACATAGAGAGACTCTGTCTCAAAAAAAAGAAAAGAAGTTTAGATTTTCTTTTTTTTTCTTTTTTTTTTTTTTTGAGACAGAGCCTCAGGCTGTCACCCTGGGTAGAGTGCTGTGGCATCACAGCTCACAGCAACCTCCAACTCCTGGGCTCAAGCAAGTCTCCT